CCCCACCCCTCCTTGCCCCCTCTTTCTTCCTGCCTGCCCCCCACCCTCTAACTTCGGAACAAACCACCAAGTCAGATAATCTTTTATTCTGCTTTATTTTGGGGGCGGGAAAGGGCGAGCGGGGAGGCTGAGGAAGGGGCTCCTCCCCATGGCAGAGAGGGGGGTGGTCTGGCAGGGTCGCTCGGTGATTCGGCACAGGCCGCCGGGGGGGCTCGGACACTCTCAGTCTGTCTGGAAGGCCGTCCCCCGGTCGTGGGCCTCCAGGCCCCTGTGCTCTCAGTTCCGGGAGGGGTGTAGGGAGCCCCTCAGTGTCCTGTGGAGGCATAGGGACTCTCAAGGATGCAGGTCCGGTAAGTACGGGTACGTGGGGACGTCCCGTGGAGCCCGGCACCCAGGTAAGGGGCAGCGCTCAGGGTCAGGCAGTCAGTGAGGCGGGAGCTGCGTCAGGCGGTGGGGGCGGCTCGCTTCGCAGGGGGTGGCGGGGCAGGGGAGGCACCACGGCACACCACACGACGTGGGGGCGGGGGCGGGGGCCCGGGGGAGCAGGAGCACCGGTGATGGAGGTAGAAGAAGTCAGTGGAGCACCCAAGGTCAGTGTCCCAGGATGGCCCAAGGTGGCCACGCGTCACTCCAGGGGGTGGGTTCCTGACATCCGCTTGCTTGGCTGCGTCTGCTGTGCCTGATTCTTCACCTGGCCTGGGGTCATGGGGTCATTTCCTGCTCATCACTGCTTTCTCCCTCATTGATGTCACTCCCAGCGGTGCGCCTGGGACCTGGAGACTTAAGACGGGATGTGTAGCCCTGAGCCGGCTCTGGGTCTCTGATGACGAGAGAGTCTGTTGGCACTGATGATGTTGCTGGTTGATGAGTTGAAGAAGTCATTGCCCTTCTCGAGTGGGTCGCCCTTGGGTCGGGAGTGGCAGGGGCGTGGCACGGGGGCCGAGCGAAGCAGGCTGAGGCACGGGCAGGCGGGAGCAGGTCGTGCGGGGTGTCTGGGACGGAGGCGAGGAGGGCTCGCGGCCGGCGAGGCGTTTTCAGCGGTCGCCCGCGTCCGCGTCCTCGTCGGGGAGTTCCCGCAGCCTGGCGCCTTCTCCGGGCTGCCTCCCCCTGCTGGGGCCTGGGGCCTCTGCGCAGATCACGGCCAGGAAGCGGGCCAGGGCCCTGGCCGCGGGCTCCTGGA